CCTGCCTTAGCCTCTAGAGCTGGGAATACAGGCACCTGCCACCACACCCAGCTAATTTTTGTATTTTTAGTAAAGACGGGTTTCACTGTGTTGGCCAGGCTGGTCTCAAACTCCTGACTTTGTGATCCACCTGCCTCAGCCTTCCAAAGTGCTGGGATTACAGGCATGAGCTACCACACCTGGCCTACAATGTGCTTTCTTATTTTTTTCAATACTGATAGGCTGAAGATTTTGTGAATTTTCATATTCTGTTTTCTTTTTGCTTAACAATTCCTTCTTTGATTTATCCCTTTTTCCCTCTTGCCTCTTACTATAACAGAAAAGATAAACCAAGATGTGCCCTAAACACTTTACTTAGAATCTTCTCAGGTAAATATCCAAGTTCATTGCTTACAAATTTTACTTTCCACCCAACAGACATAATTCAGACAAGCTCTGTGCCATTTTATAACAAAGATCATCTCTCCTCCAGTTTCCAATAATATGTTCTTCATTTCCATCTGAGACCTCACTAGAAGCACCTTTAACATTCATATTTCTATCGACATTCATATTTCTATCGACAATATATGTCTATATCTAAGATGAGAGAAGCTTTCTCTGTAGTTCACTTTTTTTTTCTGAGCCTTCACCAGAAACACTTTCAAAATCCATATTTCTACCAACAATCTCTTCAAGGTAATCTAAGTTTTTTCTATCATACACCTCAAAAGTCTTGCAGCCTCTACCCGTTACCTAATTCCAAAGTCATTTCCACTTTTTAAAGTATTTGTTACAGCAGTGATCCTGTAGACCCCAGTCGTAGGGCTACTCTTACAAAGTATCCACAAATTGGGTGGCTTTAACAACAAAAAATTATAATCAGTGGGATAGAAGTCTGGGATCAAGGCGTTCACAGGGTTGGTTCCTTCTGAGAACTAGAGGGAAAATCAATTCCATGCCTCCGCCTAAGCTCCTTGTGGGTTGCTGTTTTTGACATTCTCTGACTTCTGTATGCATCACTTCAATCTCTGCCTTCAGCTTCACATGGCATTTTCCCAGTGTATATCGGTGCTCCGATTTTCTGTTTTTACAATGACAACATTTATATGGAATTAGGGCCCACTTTAATGACCTCATTTTCATTTATCTCTGTAAAGTTCCTATTTCCAAATAAGATCACATTCTGAAATACTGTGAGGGTTAGAACTTCAACTTATCTTTTTTAGAGGGCACAATTCAACCTGTAACCCTCCCATGATAGTGTTAGGGATTATGGAGATCACAGTTAGTTGTGCACCAAATCCAAGAGGCCCAAGAAATGCAGTTCTCCTCTATATCCCTATTGAACTTTTTTACCTTGTTGTATGACCATTTTTCTTCATAGGGACATATGGACCTTGGCCTGATCCTTAGTCTTGCTTAGTTTTGAAAGCTGAGACATCTGGTTAATAGTTAAATGGGAGTCTCCAGTTCACCTCCAGATTCACTGGGAGGAGCAGAAGGAATAGCTCTTTTATTAATCAGGATCCATTACCTTGTAGACCCTAGGAGAGCACCCTGTAGGGCCCCATAGCTCACTGCCTTGCCATGAGTTCCTTGGTGGCAGAGTCCATCAGTCTTCTCTTCCAGAACCCACACTTAAGTAACCAGAACCAGAGATCTTGTGAAAGTTTTTGTGCAGATGGTCCTGGAGAGAGTAAATGATTACCAGTTTTACATCATTCTTTATGCCAGCAAGTTGTTGCTATCTGTGCAGTAGCTACTTTTTCTATTCTGATGATTTATCATCAGTGAATATCTGGATTGTGTCACAGAGTGCTCAGCATGGCCTTATGAGGAGGTTTAATTGTGTTCAATAACCAGTAGGAGTAAAATGAATGAGCCTAAAAAGCAGTCTCATTAACAGTCTTATCTACCACACCATGTGTATGTGAATCCTGACTCTCAAAGCACCAACCAATTTATGCATTTGCTCTATACAATAATACTTTGAAACTTTTTGCAAAATTGCTTAGCAGATACCACTACAAAAACAAACCTACTAAAAAGATTTCATGATTTGTTTGCAGTTTGTCCCCTAACACTCTTGCCCAAGACTATGTTTCAAATATTGTATTTATTAGTTACATGGATTAGTACTTGTTTTTTTTTCCCATATAGTAGGTTCATTTTATTAAGTTTCCTTTCAGTTTTAGTTCCCACTTCTTATCCTCATTGAATTAATTTTATTTAAAAAATATTGTATTCATGCATTTTGCATGCTATGAAGGAATATCTGAGGCTGGGTAATTTATAAAGAAAAGAGGTTTATTTGACTCATGGTTTTTCAGGCTGTACAAGCCTGCACCAATATTATCTGTTCAGCTTCTGATGAGGCCTCAGGAAGCTTTTAGTTATGGCAGAAGGGAAGGGGAGTCAGCGTGTCACATGGCAAGAGAAGAAGCAAGAGAGATACGGGGGACATCCGAAATTTTTTTCCAACAAACAGATCTTACATGAACTCATTACCATAGAGAGGGCACCAAACCATTTGTGAAGGATCTGCCCCCATGACCAAAACACCTCCCACCAGGCAACACCTCCAACCTTAGGGATCACACTGCAACAAGAGATTTGGAGGGGACACACATCCAAACCATATCCAATATGTAGAACATTAAGCTACTTCCAAAAGTAAATATTAGGCAAAAGATATTCTTAGAAGAATATAATTTCTGCCACAGTCCTTCTCTTTTTTTTAAATTGCATTTTAGGTTTTGGGGTACATTTGAAGAACATGCAAGATAGTTGCATAGGTACACACGTGGCAGTGTAATTTGCTGCCTTCCTCCCCTTCACCTATACTTGGCATTTCTCCCTGTGTTATCTCTCCCCAACTCCCCACCCCTGACTGTCCCTCCCCTATTCCCCCCAACCGACCCCTGTGTGTAGTACTCCCCTCCCTGTGTCCATGTGTTCTCATTGTTCAACACCCACCTATGTGTGAGAACATGTGGTATTTCATTTTCTGTTCTTGTGTCAGTTTGCTGAGAATGATGTTCTCCAGGTTCATCCATGTCCCTACAAAGGACACGAGCTCATCATTTTTGATGGCTGCATAATATTCCATGGTGTATATGTGCCATGTTTTCCCTATCCAGTCTATCATCAATGGGCATTTGGGTTGGTTCCAGGTCCTTTCTATTGTAAACAGTGCTGCAATGAACACTCGTGTGCATGTGTCCTTATAGTAGAACAATTTATAATCCTTTGGATGTATACCCAGTAATGGCATTGCTGGGTCAAATGGAATTTCTATTTCTAGGTCCTTGAGGAATCACCACACTGTCTTCCACAATGGTTGAACTAATTTACACTCCCACCAGCAGTGTAAAAGTGTTTCTATTTCTCCACATCCCCTCTAGCATCTGTTGTCTCCAGATTTTTTAATGATCGCCATTCTAACTGGCATGAGATGGTATCTCAATGTAGTTTTGATTTGCATTTCTCTAATGACCAGTGATAAACCTGACAAAAGCAATGGGGAAAGGATTCCCTGTTTAATAAATGGCATTGGGAAAACTGGCTAGCTATATGCAGAAAGCAGAAACTAGACCCCTTCCTGACACCTTACACTAAAATTAACTCCAGATGGATTAAAGATGTAAACATAAGACCTAACACTATAAAAACCCTAGAAGAAAATCTAGGCAAAACCATTCAGGACCTAGGAGTAGGCAAGGACTTCATGACCAAAACACCAAGAGCACTGGCAACAAAAGCCAAAATAGACAAATGGGACCTAATCAAACTCCACAGCTTCAGCATGACAAAAGAAACAGTCATTAGAGTGAATCGGCAACCAACAGAATGGGAAGAAATTTTTGCAGTTTACCCATCTGACAAAGGGCTGATATCCAGAATTTACAAAGAACTAAAACAGATTTACAAGAAAAAAACAAGCCCATTCAAAAGTGGGCAAAGGATATGAACAGATACTTTACAAAAGAAGATATACATGAGGCCAATAAACATATGGAAAAATGCTCATCATCACTAGTCCTTCTCTTTTATTCCCTTCCTTGTTCCTACCCTGTTGTCTTGTAGATAACCAACTACAGTGTTTCTTGCTTATTTTACCTGTGTCTCATTTTGAAAAGGTTAATTTTCTCTATTTCTGTTTTTTTCTGATTAGTTATTTCTGACCCAAAAGTTACCATACTAGATATCCTGTTTTTAAGATCTTTTTTCACTTAACATTATCTTCTAGAAATTCCTACATGTTAATTTATAGAAACCTTTATTATTTTTACATAATATGTATAGTATTATGTATAGTGATATGTATTTATGTCATAATTTAGAGTATATATCTTTGTTTATTGAGCAAATCTCCTATACTTGAATATTTAGATGTGTTGAATATTTTGCAATTACAAATAATATGGTAACAAATAATGTGCATTTGAATTTTTATTGTTTGGTCTATTATTATGCATTAACCTATGTAAATAACCCATGAATTCTGAAGACCAATAGGAAATATATTTGGTGCCTTAAAATATTTATGGTATATTCATATTCTCACTCATAGGCAGGTGATGAAAAATGAGAACACATGGACACAGGGAAGGGAGTACTACACACTCGGGTCTATTGCGGGGAATAGGGGAGGGACAGTGTGGGGGGGAGCTGGGGAGGGATAGCCTGGGGAGAAATGTCATATGTGGGTGAAGGGGAGGAAGGCAGCAAAACACACTGCCATGTGTGTACCTATGCAACTATCTTGCATGTTCTTCACATGTACCCCAAAACCTAAAATGCAATTAAAAAAAAAAGAAAAAAGGAAAAAAAATATTTATGGTATAATGAGACAGCTTTTGTAAAACCCATTAAAACCATTTTTATCATTTTTATGTCAGATTTCAATAATTGTAATTTACTTATAATTTTATAAAAATGAGAAAAAAAGAGAATTCACAGTAGATTTGATTTTATTTGTGGACTAAATACATCTCTTCATGTGACTCATTTGTTAGTTCCAGATAAAAATTCTATATTGGTTCATCAAGAGTCAGTGTCAAAACTCCAAATGCAAGAAAAGAAGAAAATAACTCCTGGAAAGGAAAGGCGTAATAGTAAGTGTAGTGATTATGGATAACTTTAAATTATTTTAAGATGAAACTTATCAGAAGATATTTTTCTTTGATTCTTGAATGTGTATTTTAGCATGTATTTTATGGAAATAGTAGACTTTGCCCTGAACTAGGAACACCTTAAGATAAGTAGAGAACAAAAATGAAAGTGTTAACTTCACATTGGAATTTCTGGTCATAAGATTATTTCACAGCCATTGGGCATGCACTCAAAAGGCCCAACAATTGGCCTACAATATTTCAAAGAGTGTACCTTTCAGCTGACTCTGGGAGATTACAGTTTCCAGGAGATTATACCTAATGATCACTTATCATGTGTAGTGATGTTCTTCCCTGGGGTTCAGTCAACAAATTGAGAGGTTGTTGAGATCTGTAACTCAAACAGCAAGTGGGAATTACAGGAGCCAAGAAGAAGGATAGTCCTGAAAGCTTGTTGGTTAGCCATAGGGCATTTTGTTGGTTGAGTGCCACACAAAGGTAAGGTCTTCTTGGTAACCTCATAGATGCGTGCCATCAAGTTTCTTGTATGGTAGGGAATGTTAAAGTGTCCATAGCCAACAATGACTGGGCTTCCTTTTCATTTTAGGGGATTGAGAGGACCAAAAGATAGGCATCATCTCCTCTGGAATGTGATGTGCCCCTTTCCAAAGTATAACACAGGAATTTCACTTGAGTGCTAGGTCTTTGTACCTTGTATGTACTAATGGCAAAACTAGTCTTTATTGGTTCATGCCTGTGTTTGGATCCACCAGGAAAATATCTTCAATATAGTAGAAGGCTAGTGTTCCCTCCAAGAGCAGGAATTTTTCCAGGATATGCCCTATCCATGAATGACAGATAGTTGGGGAATTTAGGTAGTCTTGTTGAAGGACTTTAGTGGTATATTACAATCTATTCCACATAAGAATAAACTGATCCTTATCATTGGTGTGGAGAGGGATGCCAAAAAGGGAATTTTGTGTGTCAGTTTTTGTAGAGTAAGTTCTCTTCTTTTGGGCAATAGCCTCTATGACAGTCACAAAGTCAGGTACTGCCAGCACCCAGGGCTGCATTACGGCATTGAGTAGCCAGTGAGGCTGTATGCATCTGAGGTACGTGCACAGGCCAGATGGGGCTGTTTAATGAAGGATTAGTCTCACAGAAAACTTTGCCATCCTTAAGTACAACAATGAAGGCGTTTATTTCCTTTTTACCCCAAGTAATCAGTATTGTTTTTGAGAAACAACAGCTCAAGGTAGTCAGATGGGTTTGTGGCCTTTCACATGCCCCCCTAAAATTGCCCTAATTGAGCAATTTTCTTCAGTGCTTGTGGGCAAAGGTGAGCAGGTGTTCCCTTAATGATACATTTATAACATAATACATTGAGTAACATGTACTATAACAATAGAGTTTATAATTGGCCCACCATAGTTGGGTTCTAGATAAGGTTCCCATTGGTGGTGACTTCAGACTTCAAACTAGAGAAAATTATCAGTTTCCCCTTCATTCTGATGCTGGGGTATATGTTCACAGTCACTTATGTACCAGTATCCGAAAGGCCCAAGAAATATAATTATCCTCACCTTCCCATTTAACTCTGACCCTGGTCCTCACTGGGGATTTGAGGACTTAGCTTAACCTCTGGTCTTGTTCATTGTTGAAGGGCGAGAGTTCTCAGTAAAAATTAGAGGGGCTAATCAATTCATCTCCAAATTCACCAGGGAGGGGTGGAGGGAGTAACATTTTATTAATCAGAATCCTCAATGTGCTGACCCTAGTAGGCCCTATCAACTTCATTGTAGCCAGACCTAGAGATTATCTCTAGAGGCATCATCCAGGAGAGGGTGCTTGATTGCCATTTTATTCGGTTGTGGAAAAGCAATTGCAGTTTTTGCCATTAGATTGCTTTTGCACCAACCTAATACATCACTTTCCTGCTGGTCAGTTTTTTCTACCTCAGGAGCAGCTGCTTTTCCCATGCCTGAAAAGTTTTCGGTTAAGTTTTGGATTTTGTCACATATGACCTGACCTTATGAGTTTTATTGAATTAGAAAATAGGCAAGAGTGGCACGAAAGAACCTAGAAATCTGAGTCTGATCAACTATCTCCTCTACTGTTCTTACTCTTCGTTGTAGAACTAAGGGACTACCAGGGTTGTGATTCACAGGGCTACTATAACCTCTGCAAGGACGGTGCAAACATAATTTTAGTGGTAGGTTCATCATGGGTAAGCCAAAGCTATCAAAGGTCAAGCAATTAGCAAGCTGAGGAATGAGACGGTCTCAAGTTGGCATCTCATACATCCCCTTTCTTTCTTCTCCTTGAGTGAAGCTTCTCTGTCATTACATTCTGAAGGAGGGTTCTATAGTGACTTGCCCCACAAGGTACCAACTTTTCTAACAAAGTTTAAGAGTACATAAGGCTCTAAGTTGCCTTCAGTAGGTAGGTAAAGTGATCTCAGAAGGTTCTACGTTTCTTTTTGTTTTTGGGGTTTTTTTTTTTTTTTGAGAGAGAGCCTCACTCTGTCTCTCAAGCTGGAGTACAGTGGTCCAATCTCAGCTCACTGCAACCTCCACCTCCCGAGTTCAAGCAATTCTCTTGCCTCAGCCTCTTGAGTAGCTAGGATTACAGGTGCTCACCACTATGCCTGGCTAATTTTTGTATTTTTAGTAGAAATGGGGTTTCACCATGTTGGTCAGGCTGGTCTCAAGTTCCTGACCTTGTGATCCGCCTGCCTCAGCCTTCAAAAGTGCTGGGATTACAGGTGTGAGCCACCATGCCTGGCCTAGTTCTGCATTTAAAAAAAAATCCCTTATAATTAAACCATGAGTCTCAATACTTTGCTGGGACATAGGTGGTCTATCATTGCCTGGTAACTGTTTAGAACTAACCGCAGTCATTGGGTACAAAGTACCTCACAGATTCTCTGGAAACTTTCAGTCCCATCTCCACATCATTATATACTGTAATTAATATTATACCATTGTTTGTGGTATATATATCTGTTCATTTGACCAATCTCCTGTGTGTGAAAATCTCCATGGTTTTGAATATTTTTCAATTACAAGTAATGCTATAATGAATGATCTTGCACATATGCATTTTCATCGTTTGGTCTATAATTATATATTAAGCTAAAGTATAAATTATCATGCATTATGTAAGTATTTTGAGTATATATTAAAGTATAAACTCATGAATCCTGGAGAACAATATACACTGTATTTGATGCTTCAGAATATTTATGAAATAATGGATTAGCTTCCACAGCAGGCATTAAAATTATCTATTTTTGGGTCAGATCTAGCATTATTGTAATTTACTTACAACTTTATAAAAATAAGATAAAATGTACATGATATATATTCATAGATTTATTTTCCATTTGGTGGACTAAATGCATCTCTTGATCTAGCTCATTTTGTAGTGCCAGATGAAAATGTGGCTTTTGTTCATCAAGATTCCGAGGCAAAACTCCAAATGCAAGTTAAGAAGCAAATACATTTTAGAGTAGAAAGGCACAAAAGTAAGTATAATAATTATAGATAACTTTAAGTTATTTTATATTGAACTCATAGGATCTTTTCCTTCGAATCACCAATGTGTACATGAGACTATATTTAATCAACTTTTAACTTTGATCTAAAGTTTGAATACCCTGTGATAACTAGAGAACAAAAGTATTGTATTGATACCTTTTGGTTGGTATTTGGATGGTCATTAACTACTAAGTAGCATCACTGCCTCTACATCTGCTCATGAAAACTATTCACATGATTTTCTCATTTTACTTTCATGGGTGGAAAGTCTGATGATTACTTGGCATATCCAGAAGTTCTATTGCACATGTATTTTTTCTATTTAGCATTTCCTTTTGAAACCCGAAAAAAGGATATATCACTTGAACATCTATTGCCTGAGGAGAAAGTTTTATTATCAAGAAGCCAATCTCAAACCAAGAAACTTCAAGCTAAAGTAATTTCAATAAAAAGTAAGTATTTATAAACCTTATAAATTATTTTTATTAAATTCAGGAGAAATTTGTTTTTGGTTTACAAATATGCCTTCAACCATGTGCTTCTTTTGCTAATTAGTTCCATCACACTTCCAGATCTTCCTTAATGACTTACTTGTTTATTTTACAATTACTGAGTTACATGTGTCAAATCTCCCACTTTGTGGATTTCTCTATTTCTTCTTGTATTAGTGTCAGCTTTGGCTTTATATCTTGTAATGCTCTATTTTTATTTTTGTGCTTGTAAATTTTAAATTTATCTCCTTCAAAGCTCTTTTTAAAATCAGCTTTTATTTTAAGTTCCAGGGTACATGTGCAGGATGTGCAGGTTTGTTACATAGGTAAATGTGTGTCATGGTCGTTTGCAGCATGGATCAACCCATTCATTATCCAGATATTAAGCCCAGCACCCATTAGCTGTTCTTCCTAATGTCCCCTCCTCCTGTCCCCAACTCCAGGCCTCAATATGTGGTGTACTCCCACTTGTCCATCTGTTCTCATTGTTCAGCTCCCACTACTAAGTGAGAAAATGTGGTGTTTGTTTTTCTGTTCCTGCATTAGTTTGCTGAGGATAACAGCTTCTAGCTTCATTCATATCCTGCAAAGGACATGATCTTGTTTCTTTTTATGGCTGCATAGTATCCCATGTTGTATATGCTCATTTTTAGTCCGATTGCTAAAATTATCTCTTATAACCATATATGGTTTAATTATTGATTTCTTAGGTGTAATTATACCATTTTTCTTGGATTCTCCTGTTTTTCCTACTTGGTATGTTTTTTTCACTCTCTTTCTACTCTATTTTTTCTAATTATACACTTTTCCTTAGCAATATTTGGTACCAAAATTTTCAGCTTTACTTAAAGCGTGAATAAGAAAAATAAGAAACATGATAAATTCCTGGACTCCTGTGTCCTCCCAAGCCTAAACCAGGAGGAAGCTGAAACTATGAATAGACCAATAACAAGGGCAGAAGTCGAGGCAGCAATTAACAGCCTACCACACAAAAAAAGCCCAGGTCCAGACGGGTTCACAGCCAAATTCTACCAGACACACAAAGAGGAGCTGGTACCATTTCTTCTGAAACTATTCCAAATAATCCAAAAAGAGGGAATCCTTCCCAAATCATTCTATGAGACCAATATCATCCTGATACCAAAACCCGGCAGAGACCCAACAAGAAAAGAAAACTTCAGGCCAATATCCATGATGAACATAGATGCAAAAATCTTCAATAAAATATTGGCAAGCCGATTGCAACAGCAAATCAAAAAACTTATTCATCATGATCAAGTAGGATTCATCCCAGGGATGCAAGGCTGGTTCAACATACGCAAGTCTATCAACGTAATTCACCACATAAACAGAACCAAAAACAAAACCCACATGATTATCTCAACTGATGCAGAGAAGGCCTTTGACAAAATTCAACAGCCTTTTATGCTAAAAACCCTCAATAAACTCGGTATCAATGGAACGTATCTCAAAGTAATAAAAGCTATTTATGACAAACCAACAGCCAATATCATACTGAATGGGCAAAAACTGGAAGCATTCCCTTTGAAATCTGGCACTAGACAAGGATGCCCTCTCTCACCACTCCTATTCAACATAGTACTGGAAGTTCTAGCCAGAGCAATCAGGCAAGAAAAAGAAATAAAGGGTATTCAAATAGGAAAGGTGGAAGCCAAATTGTCTCTATTTGCAGACGACATGATAGTATACCTAGAAGACCCCATCGCCTCAGCCCAAAAGCTCCTGAAACTGATAAGCAACTTCAGCAGTCTCAGGATATAAAATCAATGTGCAAAAATCACAAGCATTCGTCTACACCAATAACAGACTTAAAGAGAGCCAAATCAAGAACGAACTACCATTCACAATTACTACAAAAGGAAAAAATACCTTGGAATACAACTCACAAGGACGGTAAGGGACCTCTTCAGGGAAAACTACAAACCACTGCTCAACGAAATCAGAGAGGACACAAACAGATGGAGAAACATTCCATGTTCATGGTTAGGAAGAATTAATATCCTGAAAATGGCTATACTGCCCAAAGTAATTTACAGAATCAATGCTATACCCATCAAGCTACCATTGACTTTCTTCACAGAACTGGAAAAAACCACCATGAACTTCATATGGAACCAAAAGAGAGCCTGCATAGCCAAGTCAATTCTAAGCAAAAAGAACACGGGGGGGGCATCACACTACCGGACTTTAAACTATACTACAAGGCTATAGTAATCAAAACAGCATGGTACTGGTACCAAAACAGAGATATAGATCAATGGAACAGAACAGAGGCATCAGAGGCAACACAACGTAGCTACAACCATACAATCTTTGATAAACCCAACAAAAACAAGCAATGGGGAAAGGATTCCCTGTTCAACAAATGGTGCTGGGAAAACTGGCTAGCCATGTGCAGAAAGCAGAAACTGGACCCCTTCCTGACACCTTACACCAAAATTAACTCCAGATGGATTAAAGACTTAAACATAAGACCTGGCACCATAAAAACCCTAGAAGGAAATCTAGGCAAAACCATCCAGGACATAGGAGTAGGCAAGGACTTCATGAACAAAACACCAAAAGCATTGGCAACAAAAGCCAAAATAGACAAATGGGACCTAGTGAAACTCCACAGCTTCTGCACAGCAAAAGAAACAGTCTCTAGTGTGAATCGGCAACCAACAGAATGGGAAAAAATTTTTGCAGTTTACCCATCTGACAAAGGGCTGATATCCAGAATTTACAAAGAACTCAAACAGATTTACAGGAAAAAAACAAACAAGCCCATTCAAAAGTGGGCAAAGGATATGAACAGACACTTTACGAAAGAAGACATACATGAGGCCAACAATCATATGAAAACATGCTCATCGTCACTGGTCATCAGAGAGATGCAAATCAAAACCACATTGAGATACCATCTCATGCCAGTTAGAATGGTGATCATTAAAAAATCTGGAGACAACAGATGCTGGAGAGGATGTGGAGAAAAAGGAACACTTTTACACTGTTGGTGGGAGTGTAAATTAGTCCAACCATTGTGGAAGACAGTGTGGCAATTCCTCAAGGCCCTAGAAATAGAAATTCCATTTGACCCAGCAATCCCATTACTGGGTATATATCCAAAGGGCTATAAATTGTTCTACTATAAGGACACATGCACACGAATGTTCATTGCAGCACTGTTTACAATAGCAAAGACCTGGAATCAACCCAAATGCCCATTGATGATAGACTGGATTGGGAAAATGTGGCACATACACACCATGGAATATTTGCAGCGATCAGAAATGATGAGTTCGTGTCATTTGTAGGGACATGGATGAATCTGGAGAACATCATTCTTAGCAAACTGACACAAGAACAGAAAATGAAACACCGCATATTCTCACTCATAGGCGGGTGATGAAAAATGAGAACACATGGACACAAGGAGGGGAGTACTAAACACTGGGGTCTATTGGGGGGAAAAGGGGAGGGCCAGTGGGAGGGGGAGGTGAGGAGGGATAGCCTGGGGAGAAATGCCAAATGTGGGTGAAGGGGAGAAAGCAAACAAAACACACTGCCATGTGTGTACCTATGCAACTGTATTGCATGCTCTGCACATGTACCCCAAAACCTAAAATGCAATAAAAAAAAAGAAAGAAAACCTGGAAAAAAAAAGAAAAGTAAGAAACATAAGAAAATAAAAAATAAGAAAAATAAGGACAAATTTTAAATATACAAGTATATATAATAATGTTTATAGTAGTAAATAAAATAATGTTTATAAATAAAATTTATTTACTACTATAATTTACTACTATAAATATAATTTTTATACCATGTGTATAAAAATTAACAAGATGGCTTTTATATGCACAAGTAGAAAATGTATTTATATGTTTATATTTTAACTAGACACCGATTTGCTTATATCGTTAAAAAATAAGACAAAATATTGTTGAGTAATTAACATATATTGTGAATCTAAAGGTTACACCATAAATCAAGTTCTCTAATAATTTTCAGAGCCTTTTTCTTGTAGCCCAGAAAAAGATAAGGTATCAGACGAAACTCTTTTGCCTGCAACTGGAGCTGCTAGAAAGAAGAGATTCCATAGTAAATATGGAAATAATATTATTAAGTTGTTTGGAATTACATTAACTAAATTTTAATTAAGCTGAATTTTATTCATGGATATGTACTCTGCTAGAATGTTAAAGACATCCATTGAACTCATTTTTTTGTTGTGTCATTAAAATTTATTTCCTGATTTTCTTGAATCTTATTTATCAATTATTGAGAGATGTATACTAAATTATCCCACTTTGTGGATTTAACTATTTCTTCTTATAGTTCTGTTCATTTTCCTTATACTGTCTACATTATTTGTGTATACAAATAAAAACTCAGATTTTCTTTATGAACTCTACCTTTTATTTTTATGAAAGGGATCATCTTAGTCTTTAGTGAGGTCTTTTGACTAAAAGTCTGTTTTGTCTGATATTGACATAACTACTACAGAGTGATTTTGGTTAGCGTTTGTATTTTTTCAGTCATGTCTCTAATAAATAACGTATAGTTAAATTGTTTATCATTCCAATGTGTCTGTCTTTGTCTATTCCTAGAGTATGTAGTCCATTTACAATTATCATGCTTACTGATATATTCGGATTTAAATATTTCGGGCAGGGGTGATTTTTAATTTTTTTTTTATCTGATTCAGGTTACTTTCTATTTTCTTTCTTTCCTTATTTTGAAATTACTACTTTTAATCAGTTCAATTATTCAGTGTATCACGTAGGTTATAAAAACTTTTTAAAATGTGAATACACTTAGTAAAATAAAGTCTAATTTCAACTTTCTAAGTGTATGTATGAAGTAACAAGAGTGCCTCCACATACTTTCAGGAAAAGTACTCTGATGATTTTTGTATTTAACTTCATGATTCGTTTTGAAAACTCATTAGAGGTTTTATTGTGTGACATTTATTTAAATTGTATTGACTAGTGTAAAGTCTTTTAAAACTTATAGGAAACTTTGAATGGTCCTTTCAATATATTAATAATCCAGAGGCTTCACAGTAAAGCTTTTTCATTTTTTTTTAAAGCCTTTTTTTTTTCAACTGAGAAAATGGATGAAATAGCAGATGAAAATCTTTCAGCTTAAATAAAGTTTTAATTTTAAAAAGCTCATCTCAAATTACAAAACTTAGTAGTTGCAGAAAAGTGAGACTTCATAGTAAATATAATAATTAAGAATATTGTATAATTATTTTAATTGAATTTCTCTCTTTATATGTTCAATTATAAATATCTTTGTGTCATATATACATATATGTGTGTATAGAAAATATATATGAGTGTATGTATATTCTCTATTGTCATTAATTATATTTTCACATGTTCTTAACTTCATTGAGGTTCTGTTTATCATTTATGAGAAAGGTATTTCAAATTCTGCTACTGCGATTATTTCTCTGTCCTTTGTAGTTCTGCCAATTTTTGTTCTATGTTTTAAAATATATTTTATTATATACATACAGATTTTAAATTGTTAAATTTTCTTAAGAGCACTGAAACTCTTGTCTTCATGATGGACATTTTAAAAAATAGACTTTATTTTTAGAGCAGTCTCATGTTCACAGTAAATTAGAGAGGAAGACAGAGATTTCTCATGTAGCCTCACCCACAATATGATGGATACTTTGTAGTAACTTTTGTTGCCATTAATCTGTCAGATATTAACATAGCATCTTTTTAATGTATTCGCAGAACACAATTTTTCATCATTATACTTTCACCTTTTTGTATTATTATGTCTTAGCTGTATTATATGTGTTAAATATATTATAGTTATTTTTTAAATCCAATGTGACAATCTTTCAATTGCAAATATAACATTTAACACATTTACATTTAATGTAAATACTGATATTTTGTGAGTTAATATACCAACACTTATGTTTTCTGTATTTCTTGCCTGATCTATTTTTGGATCTCCTTTTAAAGTTTGTTGTTAATGTGCTTTTATCATTTTTTTTTAAATTTATTTATTTATTTATTTATTTATTTTTAATTTTTTTATTTTTTTTAATTTTTTATTGGATTATAGGTTTTGGGGTACATGAGCAGAGCATGCAAGACAGTTGCGTAGGTACACACATGGCAGTGTGCTTTCTTTTCTTCTCCCCTTCACCCACATTTGGCTTTTCTCCCCAGGCTATCCCTCCCCACTTCCCCCTCCCACTGGCCCTCCCCTTTTCCCCCCAATAGACCCCAGTGTTTAGTACTCCCCTTTCTGTGTCCATGTGTTCTCATTTTTCATCACCCACCTATGAGTGAGAATATGCGGTGTTTCATTTTCTGATCTTGTGTCAGTTTGCTGAGGATGATATTCTCCAGATTCATCCATGTCCCTACAAACGACACAAACTCATCATTTCTGATTGCTGCATAATATTCCATGGTGTATATGTGCCACATTTTTCCAATCCAGTCTGTTATCAATGGGCATTTGGGTTGATTCCAGGTCTTTGCTATTGTAAACAGTGCTGCAATGTAGGCAAGGATTTCATGAACAAAACACCAAAAGCATTGGCAACAAAAGCCAAAATAGACAAATGGGACCTAATGAAACTCCACAGCTTCTGCATGGCAAAAGAAACAGTCACTAGAGTGGATCGGCAACCGACAGAATGGGAAAAAATTTTTGCAGTTTACCCATCTGACAAAGGGCTGATATCCAGAATTTACAAAGAACTCAAACAGATTTACAGGAAAAAAACAAACAAGCCCATTCAAAAGTGGGCAAAGGATATGAACAGATACTTTACGAAAGAAGACATATATGAGGCCAACAATCATATGAAAAAATGCTCATCGTCACTGATCATCAGAGAGATGCAAATCAAAACCACATTGAGATACCATCTCATGCCAGTTAGAATGGCGATCATTAAAAAATCTGGAGACAACAGATGCTTTTATCATTTTTATTACCCACATCTGTTATAAAAATTTTATTTGATTATAAAATATGAATACCTTATAAAACTATTTTCTTGAAAAGTTCTATATTTTAACACTTCACATACTCAGTCTATAATTCACTGTCTCAGCAATGTGGCATTTGAGTATATTATTTCAAAACATGAGAGGACATATTGCTGGATAGGTGATATGTATTTTGAATTACAGAGGTTTTTTTGATAAATTCATTTGTCTATTTAACTGATTAAAAGCATCTTTTTTGTAGCTCAGAAAGTGGAAGATGTGTTAGATGAAAATTTTTTACCTGAGGATAAAGTTGCATTTTCAAAAAGCAAATCTCAAGCTAAGATATTTGGAGCTAACAAAATGGAAACACTAAGTAGTAAGTATGATAATTTTCAATATCATTGATTTATTTTTAATTAGAGTAAGCTGAAGAATTTTGTTTGTAGGTTTGTGACTGTTTAGTCAACATGGTTTTTTTTTGTTTTTTTTTTTTTGTTTTTTGAGACAGAGTTTTGCTCTTGTTACCCAGGCTGGAGTGTAATGGCGCGATCTTGGCTCATCACAACCTCCGCCTCCTGGGTTCAAGCAATTCTCCTGCCTCAGCCTCCTGAGTATCTTGGATTACAGGCATGCACCACCATGCCCAGGTAATTTTTTGTATTTTTTAGTAGAGACGGGGTTTCACCATGTTGACCAGGATGGTCTCAATCTCTTGACCTCATGATCCACCCACCTTGGCCTCCCAAAGTGCTGGGATTACAGGCTTGTTAAATTAAATGTGTTTATTGTTCTGTTCAGTTATTTTTTTCATTGAGGTTTTTCTGTTTATTCTGTATTACTAAGAGATGTATGTTAATTTCTCCCACTGTGATTATAGATTTCTCTATGTCTTATAGTAGTTCTGTCAAATCAGTTTTTATATTTGGAAACTATCTTATTTATTTATTGTGTACAAATTTATACTTTTAACCTGGTAAGTGGAGACTGTCTCTTAATGTCTGAAAATGCATTTTGTTTTATGCAAATCAAAACCATAGTGAAATACCATTTCACACCAGTCAGAATGGCTATTACTTAAAAGTCAAAAAGCAACAGATGCTGGTAAGGTTGCGAAGAAAAGCTAACACTTATACACTGTTGATGGGAGTGTAAATTAGTTCAACCATTGTGGAAAACAGTATGGCAATTCTTCAGAGAGCTAAAAGCAGAACTACCATTCAACGCGCAATCTCATTACTGGGTATATACCCAGAGGAATATAAATCATTCTAGCATAAAGATACATGCACATGAATGTTTGTTGCCTCACTATTCACAATAGCAAAGACATGGAATCAGTCTAAATGCCCATCAGTGACAAATTAGATAAAGAAAATGTGATACATATACACCATGTAATACTATGCAGTCATAACAAGGGACAAGATTATGTCTTTTGCAGGAACATGGATGGAACTGGAGGCCATTATACTTAGAAAACTCATGCAGGAACAGAAAACCAAATACTGCATGTTCTCATTTGTAAGTGAGATGAGAGCTCATGAACACAAAGGGAACAAAACACACTGGGGTTCACTTGAGAGTGGAAGGTGGGAGAAGGGAGATGAGCAGAAAAGATAACTATTGGGTACTGGGCTTAATACTTGGGTGATGAAAAAATCTGTATAACAAACCTTCGTGATGTGAGTTTACCTATGTAACAAACCTTCACTTGTACCCCCGAACTGAAAATGAAAGTTAAATATAAATAAATACATAAATGCATTTTGTTTTAAAGTTTATCTGATACTAGTAAAACTACATATGCTTTCTGGTGAAGTACTTACACAGTCTTTTGTAAAGAGTTTAGACAGAAGCTGTTGGTGCCTATATGGTCTCTAATTTTTTCACAATACTCTTAAACCACAAAAAAAGCCCAACAATTTCTTTCTTAATTAGGTGCAAAACTATTTAGTACCTGTTGGATACTGCATAAACTTTATGGGGACATATATTTTCTACACAGGTAAATGCCAAGGAGCACAACTGCTGTATCATATAGTAATACTGTATTTAACTTTGTAAGAAGCAGTTAAACTGTCTTGAAAGTAGCTGTAGTGTTTTGCATTCCTACCAGCAATGAGTGAGAGTTAATATGGTTAATTTTAAATTATCCAATTTGCCAGTCTGTGTCTTTTGACTGGGGCATTTAGTTCATTTACACTTACAGTTAATATTGTTATGTGTGAATTTGATTCTGCCATTTTGATGCTAGCTGGTTGTTTTGCCTGTTGGTTGATACAGCTTCTTCATTGTGTCGATGCTTTTTACCATTTGGTACATTTTTAAAGTTGCTGGTACTGGTTGTTTCTTTCTATGTTTAGTGCTTCCTTGAGGAACTCTTGTAAGGCAGGCCTGGTAGTGATGAAATCTCTCAGCAATTGCTTGTTTGTAAAAGATTTTATTTTATCTTTGCTTATGAAGCTTAGTTTGGCTGGATATGAAATACTAGGTTGAAAGTTTTTTTCTTTAAGGATGGCCCCTGCTCTCTTCTGGCTGGTAGGGTTTCTACTGAGAGATCCGCTGTGAGTCTGATGGGCTTCCCTTTGTGGGTAACCCAACCTTTCTCTCTGGCTGTGCTTAGCATTTTTTCCTTCCAACCCTGGTGAATCTGATGATTATGTGCCTTGGGGTTGCTCTTCTTGAGAATATCTTTGTTGTGTTCTCTGTATTTCCTGGACTTGAATAGTGGCCTGCCTTGCTAAGTTGAGGAAGTTCTCCTGGATAACAACCTGAAGAGTGTTTTCCAGCTTGAATTCATTCTGTCTGTCATATTCAGGTATACCTATCAAATGTAGTTTAGGTCTTTTCACATAATCCCATATTTCTTGGAGGCTTTGCTTATTTCTTTTCACTCTTTTTTCTCTAATCTTGCCTTCTCATTTTATTTCATTGAGTTAATCTTCAATCTGTCATATCCTTTCTGCTTGGTCGATTCAGCTATTGAAACTTGTGTATGCTTTGCAAAGTTCTCATGTTGTGTTTTTCAGCTCTATCAGATCATTTATATTCTCTTAGGTGTTTGTTTTCATTAGCATTTCACGAAACCTTTTTTCAAGGTTCTTAGTTTCTTGGCATTGGATTAGAACATTTTCTTTTCGCTCAGAGAAGTTTGTTATTACCCACCCTCTGAAGCCTGTTTCTGTCAATTCATGAGACTCATTCTCTATCCAGCTTTGTTCTGTTACTGGTGAGGAGTTGTGATCCCTTGGAGGAGGAGAGGCATTCTGGTTTTGGGTGTTTTCATCCTTTTTGCTCTGATTTCTTCCCATCTTTGTGGATTTATCTTTCTGTGGTCTTTGTAGTTGTTGACTTTGGGATGGGGTCTCTGAGTGGATGTCCAGTTTGTTAATGATGATCTTATTTCTGTTTTCTAGTTTTCCTTCTAATAGTTAGGACCCCTCGGCTGTAGGACTGCTGAAGTTTGACTCCAGATCCTGCTTGCCTGGGTATCACCTGCACAGTGGCTGCAGAACAGTAAGAGTTTCTGCCAGTTTCTTCTTCTGGTATCTTCATCCCAGAAGGATACCTGCTGGATGTCAGCTTGAGCTCTCCTTTATGAGGTATCTCTTTTGATGTACAGGGATTATGGAGCTACTTGAGGAGACAGTCTGACCCTTATAGGAGCTCAAATGCTGAGCTGTGAGTTCTGTTGTTCTGTTCAGAGCTACTGGGCAGGTATGTTTAAGTCTGCTGCAGTAGAATTCATAATCACCTTTTTTTCCAGGTGCTCTGTCCTGGGAAGGTGGGGCTTTATTTATAAGTTCCTGACATGCTGCTGCTTTTTGGTGATGCCCTGCCCAGCCAGCAGGAAGCCTAGTCACAGTCTGCCAGCAGAGGTGTTTCTGAGCTGCCATGGGCTCTGTAGAGCTGCTGTGTGAACTTCCTTGCAGTTTTGTTTATAGAGGTACAGTTAGAACTGTCTTGGTGATGGTGGTCTACCTCGGTAAAGGTGGACTGCCTTTGTATTGGGGGACTGCCTCAGTAATGGCATATTGCCTCGGTAATGGAAGACTGCCTCGGTAATGGTATATGCCTCAGTAATGGCAGACTGCTTTGGTAGTGGTGGACTGCCTCAGTAATGGCAGATGCCCTTCCCACCACAGAGCTGGACCATCCCAGGTCCAGCTGCACTTGCTGTGAAACTCTTAATCCAGAGCATTTCAGATTGCTGGTCTTTGTGGGGGTGGAACCTGCCAAGCCAGATCACCTGGCTCCCTGTTTCAGCTCCCTTTTTTTCAGTTGAATGAATGGCTCTGTCTCCCAGGCATTCCAGGCACCAGTTGAAACAGCCACCCAGATTTGTGTGAGTTTTTGTGTGGAGACCTGCTGTGCCAGCTGAAATAGCCATGCTGGAAACTCATGGCACTTTTCAGCTCAGGAATCTCCTGGTCTGTGGGCAGTAATAACTCATTTGGAAATGTGGTGACCACTCACTCTCTGTGTTGTTCTCGCTGGGAACTGAACTCCAGAGCTATTCCTATTCAGCCATCTTGGATCTGCCCATCTCTCCTTAGTTTTTCTACCTTCTTGCTTATATTATCTATTTCTTATTATGTGTTGTCCACTTTTTCCATCAGTGGTCTTAATATTGTTAGTCAAAATTATTTTAAATTTATAGTATGATAATTGGAAAAATTCTGCCATATCTGAGTTTGATGCTTATGTTTAAACTGTCTCTTCAGAGTATATTTTTTTTACTTTTAACATGACTGGAAATTTTTTGTCATTGTTTTTGAAATCTAGACATAATGTATTGGACAATAGGAACTCAGGCATATAAGCATTTATTATAATATGGTTACCTAGCTAGCAGTTAGGCTGTGTTTTTTGTTTGCTGTAATTGTAGATATCAAATGATAAAATTTTCTAAAATATTACCATTATTTTTGTTCCCTCTGTTGTTTCTGGGTTTTCTTTAGATAGGGCCTGAGGCTTGCAGGTATTTTAGCTGTAATTTGCTGTTATTATGCAGGAGTCTGATTAATGTGGTGGTAAGGTATCAAGAGAGGAGAAGCATTCTATAATCCTCTGATTAGGTTTCAGTCTTCTAGTTAGCCTGTGCCTCAGAAGTCTACACTTCACGAGAGCTTCTTATGTTCTTCTTCCCAACATCCCAGGTCCTTACATGAGCAGAAAGTTCACAGGAGGTTGAAATTGGGTATTTCACTTTCTCATATTGAAGACTAGAAAGCATCTGGAGTTAGATATTTCCCTTCCGCCAGGTCAATTATTGTGTAATAACGCCTGTGATAGTTAATCTCTGGCAAAATAGTTTCCCTTGAGGGTAGTCTTTTGTTAAGAACAAAAAGCTCTGAATGTGTTTTAAAATGATTA